ACCATGTTGTTGACCATCTAGCCTCAGTGACTGACCTCGATGTCTTTGGATGCACGGTGGACTTCGTACACCCCGCAATGCAAACCTATCTCGATGACCCAATATGGGAGGTATTGCAAAAGAACACGCAGTTTACCATAGTGCTTCGTGACTGCCTTGCTGTCCTTCATTCGAAGGAAAGCTTCGATGGATGTCCATGTCGTGATATCCCACAAGCAGTCAAAGTTCCAATGAACCTGGCGGGAATCATTCCCGCGGGTGCCTTTGTTGCTGTGCTGCGCCTGCGTCATATCAGTGTAGAAGCAGGCATAAGCGCAATTGGAGCTGAAGCATGGCAGAGCTGCCGACATCTTCGGGTGGTCAGAATGCCCAGTACTGTGGTGCGAATTGCGGATAACACCTTTCGAGGTGCCAGCTGCTCAACAGCATTACAGCACTTTCATGAACTGTGCTGCATTACCAGAACTGGCTATCCCGCCCTCACTGCATTACATTGCCAGTAGGGCCTTCCTGGATTGCTCATCACTTCGTAGGCTCATAAAGCTCCCAGGCCGAAAAACCACATGGCGGGGGACTTATGCAGAGGAAAATGCTTTCGCCATTTGCCCTGCCATGCGATGGCCGCAGTGGCTGCACATGATCCCGGACCAAGGCTATGTGTTGGGCTTAGCCTAGCTCGCTCACCCATGCTCACAAGTGATTTCGAATGCGCTATCCTTCAAGCCTGTTCGCGCGCGCGCCTCGTCCCACAGACCAGAGAAGACCTACACTATGCCGGTTAAATAAAGGTCACACCTGTCACTGCTGTCCACACAAGCTGGATCAAGCTGTTCGCCAAGTTCGTCTCCACACCTTGCTGTTAGTGAGCCGACCTGGCTGTGAGCCTCAGCTCTTGGCCGGAGATTGGCGCGCGGCAGTAGAACTGTAGACGATTGGCGCCCAGGTGAGAACCTCAGTTCTTTGTCTGTGGGAGTCAGCACTCAGCCAATCTTGTACAAAGATGGCACAAGGACCATGCTAGGATATATTTCGGTTTCACCAGTTTCACAGGGCCATGCACGTCGGTGGATAGTGACCTTTGATGACCGCTCTACCCATCTCATTGGAAATGTGCACGCTCCCCAGGCTCCCCGCTTGTTGCTCGGGAGCCATTTGGGCGGGCGTGAGATGCCTCCCCCTGCTTGAGGGAGGTCAATAGGTTGCCTGCAGCCGCACTTTCGTTGCGATGTCTATCACCTCTGTACCCAAGTCTGGCCACAGCCTCCTTTGCTCGTGCAGTCATTTGTAGTGGTTGTGCCACAGAGTGGCTGTTTTCCAAGGCCTGCAAAGCATCGCAACTTGATGACCTGTAACGATCATCATAAACTTTCGCGCTGCAATTTATTCGCACCAGCTGCTCTATTAGTCTTCGAACAAGGCTGAAGTGCCTGCAACCGAGCCTGGCAAGGGTGACTCTTCCCCTTGTCTGCGCACGAAGGCCACCGTTGAATGGCCTTCATGGACAACAGCCAAAGTCCTGATACAGCATACTGCATACGTCGAGAATTCGGGCCCATCTAGTTAGTACGACACTCTCTCAAGTTTCACACGTCTCACCTTAGTACAGACGAAACTCTGCCCACATTGGTTGTTGGGGTCTTTTAGTGCTGGTGTTTTTGGGGTCGGTTTTTGGTTTTGGGTTTTGTGTGTTCTCTGTCTTTTCGGGTTGCTCCCCCTACCAATAAGCAGAGTTTCCATCCTTTCTATGATGACCTGGGCACACCGCCCACATGGCGTCCGTACTCGTGGAAAAAAGTCAGAGACACCAGTTCTGTGTCGAGAGATGCCAACGGGGTGCTTTTGTTCCACAGGACATGGACAAGGAGCTCATGCCTTTGATAATTGTAAGCTTCTCTCTTTAGTATGTCCGACACAACCATTCACATTTGCGAACTGTGTGCTTCTCCAGAGAGTAATGCTCCCATATACGCTCCACACCATCCATTCGCAAGCACTTATGAATTGTGCCGCTTTGCAAGAGCTAGCCATCCCACCATCACTTCATCACATTGCCTGCAAAGCCTTCTTGGATTGTACAGTTTTGAGAGGGCTTGCGCGACTGCCCTCTCCAACCCGTACAAAGGAGAGAAGAGCCAGTCAGGTGTCGTCACCACTGAGACCAACATGTCCACATCTGCACACTTCCAGTGAGCTGACACAGGCGAGAACCTTGGTTCTCGACCTGTGTCTGCGCGCGCCGGGAGGATGGACAGGTGGTTGGAACCCAGGTGAGAACCTTAGTTCTTGGCCTGAGCATGGGTCCGTACCCTGCCAACCTTGTACAAAGTGGGCAAACGACTCCACACTAGCCTTACACAGGCCGATCGCGCGGAGCCTCTTCGCATATGAATCGACAACCCTCAAGAGCAGCAAAATTAGAATTCGTGGCCCAGGCAGCAAACAGCCGCAGTTCCCGTTTCACCATGTCTCACTTCAGATGTACAGAGATGAAACTCCGATGATCTATCTTTTTGTTTTCTGTTTTTTGTTTGTTTGTTTGTTTTGGTGTTTTGGGTTGTTTTTTGTTTGGTTGTTTTCCCTTTTTCGCTTCTTGAGTACTCGGAGTGATTTCAACGAGTGCTCTGCACTGGCCTGACTCACAGGCCTGTAGCGCCCGCAAGTGCTCGTGCACTGGCCTGTAAACATTCGTACACTGGCCAACAAAGATTCGATTGCAGCTCAAGCTCGAATTCACGGCCCCAGTGCCCCACTAAAAAGCAACCATAGTCCTTCTTTCACCATGTCTCACTTCAGATGTACAGAAATGAAACTCCGATGTTCTCGCTTTGTTGCTTTTTTGGTTTTGGGTTTTGTTGTTGGTTTGTTGCTTCCTGGTTCGCTCTTTTGAGCACTCGGAGATTCAAACCTTAGCCAAAGATGACCTGTGCACCATGCACACATGGCGTCTCCACTCGTGCAAAAAAATCACAAACTTATTCCTCATCTTCTGAGAGCCATGCCAACTCATCTGCCGGTGACAGATCCTCACAGAAACGAAGGAGGCATAGTGTGAGCAGTGTGATGATCTTCTTGAATGGATGCCTGATTGCCCGTCGATCTTCTTGACGACAAGAGAGGTGATGATCAAAACGATCACCGACAGCTCGTCATGCAGAGCTTTCACAGAAAGGCTTGGAGTTGGTCGCCTAAAACACATCGACACAAGACATCTATGGATGCAACTTGAATTCAAAAAGAAGACCCTCAGGATGGAAGGCGTCCCTACACTTTGGAACGTGGCTGATTTGGGCACCAAGCGTTTGTCACGCCAGAGAAGAGAGTTTCTGATGTTGATAGGTGTGATGGAGATGAATGCAGAAGGTGCCGAGCAAATCTTTTGCCATGTGGGCGAAGAGACGTTCCATGAAGAGGTGCGAAAGATGAATTTGGCTCTGAAGATGAAAGAAGTGAAGAACGAAATGATTTCTGCCCTGGTGGAGGAGAAGAGTGAAACGAAAGTGAAGATCTCAAAGTCCATGGTGAAGATGGTGACTTTGCTTCTTCTCAATCCTGGAGCCTATGGACAGCCAGAAGATGGAAGTGAGGAGAACTTCACGGCTGACGAGAACGATGGCCAAACCTACCGAAGCCATGGATGGCTGATCTACATCCTGGTGTTTGTGATCTACACGATCTTTGTGGCCGGCTGTGGCATGTGGGTTGGCTATACAAAGTGGAAGATGATTTCGAGATGGCTCAGAAAGGTCAAGCCCTACATGCAAGGTGACTGGTTTGTTGACTTCTATAGAGATGCATGTTCTTTTGCAACCTTTTTCTCAGCATTCGCCTTCAAGGGCAAATCTGGTGACCCTTTCACGCCAATTGTCCTCCCATTGGCGGGACATCACAGCCACACAAACGGCTGAAAAACCCTTCTTGCGTTCGTCGTCCCAGCCTAAGGCGTGGTCGAACCTCATGAAGGGGTACCACTCTCCAAATTTACAGGTCAGTCTCGCCTGTACATATTGTGTAAACTGCGAGCGGGAAAACAAACCTGCTGTCAGCAATCTCCGAGCTCTCCCTTCTTCATCTTCGCTCAAGTATCGAATGCAGTTTTCAAGTTTGTTCCAATCTAGGGCTTCTGGTGGATCTTCTCGATCATAATCCTGCCACAGGTAGTCATCATTTGGCAGGGTAGTGCCACTCTCCACTGGCACATCACTGTAGGCTGCACTGCCTCCATCCACTTCCATCTCTTCTACTCCTGCTTCTTCATCTCTCTCCGAAGCTGTAGGCCTGTAGTGCCTTCTGTACCCATGAGTTGGGCTCAGCATGAAAAATTCTTCTCCACTTTCGGCGTCATCTCCGGATGTCAAAATCCGGTACGGCCTCAGTCGATGCAGCTCTGGATCCCAATCTGTGAGATACTGCTCGACTGTCACATCGTCTCTGCCGTTGCTTCTCTGCTCCTCTTCTTCTTCTTCCTCTTCTCTTGGTCCGCGCCTTCCTCTGCTTGCTTGGGAAACTTCTTCCTCTTCATCAAAACTTCCTTCTGGGCCTTCACGTTGTCTTCCAACTCTTGAACCTCCGCGTCTCCTTCTCAATGGTTCTGGTAGTGCAGGTGGTGGTTCACGAATCCATTCACCACCTGTTGCTTCAACAGAAGTTCTTACTGCCCATTCTCTCATGTCTAGCCCTGATCTTGTCGGTTGAGTTTTGCATCCCATGCACATGTCACGTACAGCAGACTTCAAACCATGGCCGAAGTGGCGCACGCTTCGCTCTGAAAAAGGAGCGCGTTGCCATTTTGTCAGCAAAACATATCACTATCAACATTTTGCAAACACTTCCAAGTTCAAAGACTGCGAACAAGCACATTTTTAGAAGATTTTTTGGTGGATCAACTCCATGATGTCGATGGAGTCCGACTGTGTCCTGTACGGTAACCATGGTCCATGGTGGTGATGCAGCCGTGGTGGTTCAACTTGAAGTTGTTTGATCCTCATGGGAAACTGCATTCAATGGCACCGCCTGGTGTCGTCTTGGCATTTCTATGTCATTTCATACTTATTCGGCTTGCGCGTGCAGCACGGCCAAGTGCACCTTGGCTGCGCAGTTCGGGTGATGAAGAAAACAACATATTTGGCGCGGTGTGAAAACTTTTAGTGGAGGGATGCGCCAGTGCATGCAAGAACTTGACGGGATGGCATACAGGCGTTTTCGTTCATCCAAGAAAGCAGGGTGTTTCATGGCAAGATGCCTTTGATTTGTCATGGCAACCGTTGAACACTTTTGAGCAGTTAGTTGGGACTTAAGCTTCAAAGGCTGTGGCGAGTCATGGTGTTGGGTTGACACAGGTTCTCTTGCCTCGATTGCAACAGTTTTCCAAACATTTCCAAGCAACTTGATGGGTTGCACATGGGTGTTTGACCCTGAAGAAGCTGTGGGCATTGCGTTATGAACACTCGGGCCGTAAGTGCCGAGGTAGCTCAATCTGTCTTTCTTGCAGAGGCACGTTGCAACTGGTTGCACCGCCCGGTGACTATATATATAAAGAAAATTTGTGTTTTTCCTCATTGGACTCACCTCTATTTTTCTTCAACAGCAGAAACATGCGACGGGTCTTGCTTCAATTTCGCCATTGTGGGCGAAAGCAAGACGACTTTCGACGAGATTCAAGTTGTCATTCCCCATTTGCCTTTTGATACTTTGTGGTTTGCTTTCGGTAGCTCTCCACAAACTGACTGATTTCACTGAACTGGTTCTAGTTTCTTTGGTGGACACCACTTGGGGTTATAGCAGGCTGTTGGGGCATTCAGCGGAATGATTCCATACCACTGCAAGGACAAATGAATGATTGAATGAACGATGGTTTGGAAAGGAAATCCACCAAACATGGCCTCATTTTGTTGATGTCCTTGAAGGGTTTGTATGGTACGTGGTATCGGCCGGGGTGGCCCAGCGTTGTTTTTTGGGTAAAGTAGCTAGCATTGGACATGCATCATGCCGATGCCAGCGGATGGATGTGATCATGATGTGGTATTTGTTGCCAGCATTAGGGGGCAGATTTCCGAGAAACATCCAAAAGACACCAAAACGAACCTGCGGCAATCACCTTCCAAGCATGTGAGGATCCACAAGACGACCTTGAAGAGCGATTCCGCAGGTTGATTGGCAAGAATGTTCCTCATCAGGACTCTGACAGAGAAAGATCAGTGGAAAAATCATATTTGTGCAAACGGAACTCTCCTGATCTCATGCTTCCGCTCAGCATGTGGCTTGCTTCAGCCCTGAAGGATCAGCCTCCATCCTTCCAAGCGCAGAAACGGCAGGAGGAGTGGGAGATGTGGATGAAGGGCAACGAACCATGAGAAGAGGGTGATGGTTCCAGTCAACCGCAGCAGATCCGGAAACTCACAATGCAAACCAAGTCTGGTCCGCCTGCTCTGCAGGATGAGGATGTACTGTAGATGTTTGATGACGTTGTTTTGGTGGGCAATCAGAGCCGTGGGATGTCAATAAATTGTCCAACAGCAGACACAAGCAACGGATGTTGGTTCATTTCTCTATCTCGGGCGCAAGAGTACTCCCTTACATTGCTGATTGAATGAACGATGGTTTGGAAAGGAAATCCACCAAACATGGCCTCATTTTGTTGATGTCCTTGAAGGGTTTGTATGGTACGTGGTATCGGCCGGGGTGGCCCAGCGTTGTCCTTTGGGTAAAGCAGCTAGCATTGGACATGCGGGTCAAGCGGCATCATGCCGATGCCAGCGGATGGATGTGATCATGATGTGGTATTT